TGGGGGGACGGACCTAACGACCCTATAGTTCCAGGAAAACAAGTTTGTTTTCCTGGCACTAAAGTGGTCCTTTAAAGGGACACTAGACTCCACAAAGGAACTTTAGCTTAAAGGGACACTACAGTCACAAGATCAACTTGGCGCTGTTTTGCTGTAAAGATCATGCCCCTGCAGTCTCACTGCTCAATTTGAGGCCATTTAGAAGTTAAATCACTTTGTTTATACAACCCTAGACACCCCTCCCAGCATGTGACTTGCACAGCTTACCTTACCTTACCTTACCTAACACTTCCTGTAAAGAGTCAGCTGTTTACACTTCCTTTATTTTAAATTCCGTTTAACTTAGAATTCCTCATCTCCTGCTATGTTAATAGCTTGTTAGACCCAGCAGCAGCCTCTTGTATGTAATTAAAGTTAAATTTACAAATCTGGAGATAAAAACTTTTAATGTTAGTTACATTGGATTGAAAATTAAACTATTTTGTTTTCTTTCAGGTTGTGTCAAGCACAGCAAGGGGTGGCTACGGGTGCATAAACAGAAACAAGAGATTTAACTCCTAAATGGCAGTGAATTGAGCAGTAAAACTACAGAAGTATGATCTATACACCCAAACTGCTTCATTAAGCTAAAGTTGTTTTTAGTGTCTCTTTAATGAAGCAGTTTTGGTGTATAGATCATGTCACTGCAGTCGAACATCTCAATTCTCTGCCATTTATGAGTTAAATCACTTTGTTGATGCATCCTAGGTACACCTCCCAGCATGTGGCTTACATAGCCTTCCTTATTACCTCCTGTAAAGAGTTGTCTAATGTTTATACTTCCTTTATTGCAAATTCTGTTTAATTTAGAATCTCTGTTTGACCCTGCAGGAGGCTCCTGTATTTAATTTAAGTACAATTTACAGAGCAGGGAATACAAAAGTTTAAAGTAAGTGAGTTACATCTGATAAAAATGAAACCATTTTGGTTTCATGCAGACACTGTCAGTCACAGCCAGGGGAGGTGTAGCTAGCGCTGCATAAACAGATACAAAAGTGATTTAACTACTAGATGGAAGATAATTAAACAGTGCAACTTCAGAAGCATGCTTTATACACCAAAAGTGCTTCACTAAGCGGCTTCATTATTGTGGTAACTATAGTATCCCTTTAAGCTCTGGCCATCCTGGGCTCACCACCTATTTTCTATTTTCCTATCACAAAAATGAAAAAGGGAGTATTTATATACAAGAGACGCATACCCCCCAACCCCCTCCCTTTTTTGTAATATTTTAACACATTGCATACATGTTTTTATATACTTTAATGATTGATAACGTTTTTCTTTCTAGATTATACGTTTGTTTTAAGTACTTATTGAAAAGGGGAAAATCCTTTTCAGCCAGTTTATTATGAGAAACTGAATTCCAGCATAGAACAAGTTTTATATGCACTCACATACGGTAGTAATCAAGGCACTTCCATTGTAAACATGTGTCTAATTACATTTTGGCAACTTGACTGTATTTACTGTCTGTCTCTGCTTTTCTTTGGCAGAAAATCCAGTAATTTGCATGCCTCAATATTTAGCTAATTTTATCTTCTGGATTGTAAGTGTGCTATGTTACTTTACCTTTACTTTGGCTATGACTTCAACTTTCCTGCTTTTTGTTACTTATGTTAAATATGGTTGCTCATCGCCCTGGTCCTTTAATATTTAATACTTGTTGCGTGGTTACCCCACGTTTGACTGGTATGTATCCATCACTTAAACATACATGGAAAGAGAAGAGAAAGTATTCTCCCAAGCAAAGCTGTCCCTGGTAAAGGATTGTTACCTTTCTTGGGGGAAAAAATATCCGTCATTCTGATATGCATTATATGTGGGACAGAATGGGGATTTGTTTGTCATTGTGTATGTATAGCCATTGTCCTGTATAATAGAGGCAGATATTCTGGTTGCATTTATCTCACCACTCTCCCAGAGTCGCATCAGAGAAAAATTCCATGCATTTACATCTGGCAGATATTTTTGTAATACCGGACAGACGTCTTGAAATACTGGTTGTGTGGGTAAAATGCCATCCAGGTGGCAACCCTACTTGTAAAAACTTTGATCCATGGAATTTCCACACAATGTTATGTTAGTCTTTGTGGTTGGTCTATTTTTGACCCTGCCTCTGTTTGAAACATTCAATATGTGGTTGTTTGTCATTGTTTCAATGCTGCAGTGGAGAGCTTTTCTTTACCATTCTCTGATGTAGCACACTTAAATGAGTAAATGACTGAAATAATGCACTTGGTTACTGAAGATGTAGGACTAGTTTTAGCACAGTTTTTAGTCTCATTTTGGAAAACAGTAGGTAAGCAAGGAATGAGAGCAGGTGGATAATTTACCAGTGTCATGCTTTTGGCCTAGTACAGAACATTGAATTCTAGTTTTGTTGATTTTTTTTTTTCCTCTCTTCCTGCATGGTTTTGTAGTTGAAGGTTTAGCGCCTGCTGGATTTTTTTAAACCAGTAGTGAATGTTCTTAGTGAATATAACGGAATACCATAACTCCTGATGAATAATTTTTTTTTTTTTTTTTTTTCGTTGTCTTTGCACTTGAGATATCCAGTTGGTGATATATGCTGCTAGATGATCATTTTTAAAAGTATTAGACTTGGAAAGATAATTAAATATTCCATTGATTTTTACTTTCAATACTTCCATACTAAACATAAAAATGCAATCCCTTAATGTTGACATCTTTGCAAATATTTGCCATATTGTCCTGCCCTATATGTGACTATTTATCAGACTATGGTATTTTCTTACATCAACTCTCTGTCATGCCACTTGAGTGCTGCAATTGGTTAGCTTCGTGGCAGTCCCACCACAGTGAGAAACCCTATTCCTTTTAAAATCGGGAATCTGTATAATATTTATATTTCATCAACCGAAGTGCTATAGTAAAGAAAGAAAGAGGGTAGAAAGATGCTTAGTGGCTTTTTTTTTTTTTAAAGATATGTATCCTTATATAAATCACCAACTATTATTAATTATAAAAACAAAGCATCAGTTGGGAGGCTAAAGTGTTATGAAAATTGTTGATTATCATTCTATTCATTGTAGGCAATGGAAGCCTCCACATCTGTTACTCAAAGATTGATGTTTAAATCTGCGTGAGTGCTACTTAATCACTGTTTTTAAAGGGAAACTATAGTGTAGAAAAAAAGAGTTGTTTTCCTGGCACTATAGCTCCCTTGCAGCCCCCCTTGATAAATTACCTTTTGTCACTTACTTGAGTCCAGTGCTGATGTCCCTCGGTGCCTTTTGGGCTTCACCTCCGCTCCTTCTGGCTGCACTCATGTTAGTATTTCCTCCTTTAGAAAGCATGTATAATGCTGTCCTGTGGGGTTTTATATTACGCTGGCTGTCCTCATGCATAGCGTGAGGACGTCCAGCGTCAGTTTTTCGCCTAAGACCCGGAAGTCCCTCTAGTGACTGTCTAGACAGCCACTAGAAGTAGAATTAATCCTCAAAGGTAATTATTGCAGTTTATTAAAAACCAGGGAACTGAAGTGGTCTGGGTGCCTATAGTGCCCCTTTAAATCTAGTTGCCTACTGTATCCGTGGTATCTAGTCAAACTTAGTAATCAGATTGTTTTTATTGTAAAGTCAATTTATTTCCGGTGAGGCTAGGGAAAAGAGTACATTTCTTCTCAGTCTTAAGGTCCATTTTCAATGCTAGACATCTTTACCTTAGCTTAGATGGGGTTTGAGCTGGTACAAAGTAACAGGCCTTTAACTTAATTGTTGACCTCCCCTTCTGCTGTAGCATTGGAAATAATAGATACGACACATACAAACATACTGGAGTTTTGTGGGCTCCCCCTTGTTTTATTTTATGTTAAATGTATTTTTTTTTTTCTTTTAATGAAAGGGTAGCAACAGCCATATTACTCTAAAGTAGTGATCTAGCCCACTTGGCAAGGTAGAGGACTGTGTGTGTCACAGTGGCAGCAGCAGTATTTGTTTTATGCAGTGCACATCCCACCAATTTGTGTGTGAGATATCATTGTTTATTTTTTATTTTTTTTGTAGTGCAGATAAGAACATACAGCTCTTCATGCCTCAATAGCAATTGACAACAGAGTAAGGATACATAGCTTACATGCAATAAGGCAGTAAGTTTAAGATGCACCATTTTTTTTAAGGAGGTATAATAACATGATTATAAACATGCATTGGAAATCTATCCAGAGCGAGATTATGGCAACAACAATCAAGGTATGGTTGGTCTTCTAGATATCGTATTAAGTACTAGAATATTAGAGATTATCTCTTAGCTATGACTGCTTCATTGTGGAGCTGCAAAACAGGCTATGTCAGGCTTGACTGGCCAGTCTGTATGTAGAGAGCAGGTGTTTAGACACAAAAAAGTGAGACTAGTCTAAGCATAGAAGATTTGTAATCAGGCTTACTGACAGTGGTGCTAACCAGGAGTGTACTGTAAAATAGAGTGAAGTGAGTATCATGGTGACTATCTGAGCATTGCTCCAGGACTTGCGAAAGTACTTTAAACAATAAAATAAAACAATGTGCCTAACGTAAGCATAGCTGTACATGATAGTGCTGCAGCGTGTGACAAGGTAAACAGACAATGCTAGGCTAAAATTGAGTGACCCCTAACCTAGGGTGATCACAAGGGGTGAAGTAGATGGGGGGTGTAGGACCCCGTATGTTTGGCTTTAGAGCTGGCAATCATGTGTTACCTGGTGCAGACTTGTCAAGGTAAAAGTCAATTGTCTAACAGAGAAACAGAGTAACTGATATAACTAAAAGCACTAGAGCAGGCAGGTGTTCGCTGTCTTGCGCAGGTTCATGTCGGTGCTTTGGAGGTTCGATGTCCTCTAGGGATGAAAGTGGCCGAACGTTCAGGATCCCAGTCACGGCGGGTGGATGATGGTGTTGGGTCGGTTTGTGATAGTCCCAGAACCTGAAGGAAGGTGGTAGCTTCTGTAATAGATGTCAGCTGCAGAGTGAAAGGGTTAATGTTGTAATGGACTCTAATCCCCTCGGTTCTCGATCCCTCGGTCACCATAATCAACGTTGATGGAGGATCATTGTAAGCATTAACACACGGACAACAGCTTTACAAGACTCTCAAATGAGTGTATTCCAGAGCTGGCTTTTATACATAGTTTGCTTACATTAGCCATGGTATATGTCATTCATTACAGTACAGACTATAAGATTTATTACTTCCTTATATTACGTTATTCTGACAATGGAAAGATAAGCTTTTGCATACGTCTGGAAAAGAATATCCTTAAAATCGGAATGGGCAAGACATCCTGAGATTTAGCATTGTCTTACATCCTATAGAAGAAATACCTTAGTCTGTCACAGTCAGCATATTGACTTTAAGTATTCAATATTCCTTCAGTCAGCAATAATCATGTTATAAACCTTATAAAAGCATAAAATACATATAAACAAGTTAACTATTTAATATTCTTACATTCCCCTCTTTGAGCAATAAAACAATTGCTCATCTTATCGATAAAATCTTACCAGGACAGAGAAACTTCCACATGGTATTTTCAGGGGTGCTAGTCACTCCCTGCGGGACTTTCATTAATTTCTTCACCTCGATTCCCATGTGGTAATTCCTAAGGCCCAGTTTAAAGATGGGTTGATACCCTCCAGTGGCAGAGAGGAGAATTTCTAATTGTTTCTGTTCTGCATTATGGATTCATTTCTGTACTCACTTCCTCAATGTACAAATAAGGTGACAGTTATATAAAATCATACACAATAAAATCAGGACTATAATAAAAAAATGATAGAAGAATGATTTCATTATCTGGAATCCAGTAGGGGACCAACCAGTAAAGCATTGTACCAATGATGGGCTAAATCATTCTGAATTTGTGAACTCACCTTAAGGAGTTCTCCTTTTAGGATATGTGTGGCTACCTGTGTGTGTTATCTTTGGGAAAAATATAGTCCCCTGTGTATGTGGGTGCCCACCAGGTTAAATTCTTGGCAAAGAGATCATAAACTGGTACTGGTAATGTGTTAAATTGACAAGCTAATTTAACATCCTTTGATGTTGTATGATATAATGTAAAATAGCATGAGCATGAAAAATGTGATACAGTACCAGTTAACCATTCATTGCATTTAGTGGATTGGGGTTTCAGAAGTAACCATTCATTATCTGTGAGGTTAAGCATTCCTCTAATCTTCTCTAATTTAGGAATCATTAGTATGTCTTCTAATGCCGATCTTTGGTGTTGCATCCATAAATACCTGATGGCACAAGTACTCCAATTACTTAGACCTGTTGTGAATTTCATAGTTGCAACAGTTAAATTATCTAAATAATTATACATTGATTTATCTAAATCCAATCCTGTAACCTGTGATTTAACAACAGTTGGAGCCCAGTTTGCAGTAGCATGAAAACCAGTCCCTATATGCATACTGGCTGTGTTTAACTTATTCTTGAGGGTCTCCATGTCTATACTATTTAGTATACCCATAGTGGTTCCAGCACCTCCTAACAGTGTGTCATACCATTCCCTTTTCTGCCTTTTGTTTGCTGTGTTACATAATGTTACAACAAGAGTAGTGACTTTTAATGACACATGTACAGCTTGTAAGAAGGCAGTTGTATTAACACATGTGGATGGAATAGGTGTGTGTGTGTCGTTGTTGACTTTTGGTTCTATGTTAGAGGATAAAGGACAGTAATAAGGTGTAAAAATATAAGGTAGTGTATAGTTCTCAATTGCAGTGTCATTCATAATGACTAACATTTGTCCCTTTTTCCAATTAATGGTACCAGTTGTATAATCATTATTAAAAGTAATAAGGCCTGTTTGTTTACATTGATATGCAACCTTACTAATTTTCTTATAATATATATCCCAAACCTGTTTAGATGGTTTTCTCTTACCATCAGAACTTATATTAAATAAGGTGGCACAGATACCAGTGTAATTAGCAACCTTAACTGTGCACATTTCTGTGTTATAAGATCTAACAATTTTCCGTGAACCTTCAAACAAACATAATGCATCGGTTTCATTAGCTGTGGACACATTCCATATGAGTAATTGATACTTATAAGGGTTATTATTTGTCCAATTCATCCAAATGCGTTCAGTGAATGAATGATTGCATATTACATGCTGATAAAAAGGTGGTGGAGAAAAGTTCTTGAGGGAGCGTGTGTGACGAATGCTAGATGAGGGGTTAAGGCCTAATTGGGCTGGGGGTATTGAAGAATTGTTCATCATGTCAGAGTCTTCTTTCCAGAAACAAACAGGTTTCAAACTTGCCATTGCCTCGTATTCATAATGGCATTCAAGGAACAATATCAAAGGGAGTATAACTACTCCAGAAAACATAGCACACAACATAATCTTGGTCTCAGATTCGTATGATCCTCTCAATCTACGATATGGTGTGAAAACCATGATGCTTCGCTAAGGGGGACTTCTTCTGTTTCCGAGCGAGGAGTGGTGTTGTCTTCCTTGGTTCCCCTCTTTGGACACAGCTTCACTCGGGATGCGTGAATCCAGATGTCATGGGAATCTGTGAGGACAGCGGTTCTGGTTACAGCAATCACAGTAGCAGGTGGTCCAAAAGGGTATCCTCCTTTCTTGGTCCTGTTCAGCTGACGGATATACACCTTGTCACCGGGCTGGTATGAATGAGTAGGTTCCTGTGAAGGTAAGGGAAAACTGCGAAGAAACATTGTCATACATACCATTCGGTTTTATCAACAACTCCTGTACATATTGTTCTTGTATTAGCTGTAAATCCCCAGACATTATAACAAGCAGTTCCCTGGCCCAGGGTGTGGGAAAAGGTCATCCCATCAAAATCTCAAATGGAGATAATTTAGTCACCTTGTGAGGAATCACTCTTATCTCAGCTAAAATAGCTGGTAGATATCTAGTCCAATTTACCCATGTTCCTGGGTAAATTCTGGGCTTTTCCTTAATAGTCCTATTCATCCTTTCAACTACCCCTGTATTCTGTGGATGATAGGGTATATGAAACTGCCAGGTAACTTGCAAGAATTTAGCAAGTTCCTGGGCAACCCTACTGGCAAAAACCGGGCCATTATCAGAGCCAATCTACAGAGGGCAGCAATACCGGGGAATAATTTCAGTAACAATAATCTTCACTAGCATCTTCCCTAGATGTCACAAAGGCATCATGCCATCTACTAAACTGATCAACTATGACCAGTAAGTATTGCTGTTTCTTACCAATTTTGGATACATGAATAAAATCAATCTGTAAGTGTGTAAAAAGAGCAGTGTTCACACGATCTTACAAAAGACTGTACATGCTGCCTGAGATTCCTAATATAAAATGAATTCATGAAGAATTGAATGGTGCTTGCTATGTGCCTGACTGATGAAAATAAATCAGCTTGCTTCAAGTATGCCTATTCTTCAAGTATGCCTATTCTCCCCTCTTTAGAGAACAGATCATTCTGATCTTTCTCTAAACCTTATTTAATCCAAAAACAGATTCTGGGTATTAAAAAAAGAATCTCATAACCACTGAAGCGCTGGGCTGTCATGTGTTGTGTGGTGAGATTTGTCAGCTGAGTGACCTGGTGACTGGCATGAAGTATTGTAGGATGCCCTAGTGTGATAGTAGTAGCAGTTTCAACAGCCATTGCACATGCTATCAATGCTCTGAGACACGCCGGCATACCCTGTACCGGAGCTCGAACTACTTTGGAAAAGAATGCTATGGGACGCATACCGCCTCCTTGCTCTTGTGCACAGACCGCGGCCATGGTTTTACAATTGTCCCAAGCATACAAATGAAATGGTTTACAATACACAGGTAGTCCTAAAGCCTGGGCTTGCACAATAACAACTGTAAGGGCAATATATGCAGCTAGCATGTCTGGTGACCAGCAGACATTTTCAGGGCTGTCAGAACGTACAGCCTCCCTTAGGATTGAGTCATAATGGGAGCATTCAGGGATCCATTGGTGGCAGTAATTAATCATGCCGAGGAAGGTGAGCAACTCCTTCCGAGTAGTGGGTGTTGGAATCCTCTGAATGACCTCAATACGTTTTGGACTCAATTGTCTGGTGCCTAAAGCCAGAACAAAACCTAAGTATTCAACCTTTGATTTACACAATTGCATTTTGTGTTTAACAACCTTGTGACCTACAGTTGCTAAGTGTCTGAGCAAACTGACAGTATCCACAGTGCTTGCCTCATAGCTAGGGCTACATAACAACAAATCATCAACATTTTGCAAAAAGGACGGAACCATGACCGGTGGTCCATGTTTTTTTTTTTTTAGAGTATGTTGGAGTACCAACGAATAAACAGCTGGGGAATCCACATAGCCTTGGGTAAGCGTGTCCAGGTAAACTGGCAGCCTTCAAAAAATAAAAACCATAAGTAGCTGTGTCTCTTGATCAATAGGTATAGAAAAAATGCATTACTTAAATCAATGACAGTGAAGCAAGTGGCATCATGTGGAATGGCTGTAACGAGGGATGTCATATCAGGGACAATGGGTGAAATGGGCACAATTAAACTATTCAGGGCTCTAAAGTCCTGAACTAAGCGATATGCTGGCCAGTGGTGTTGGGAGTGGGTCTGGTGTTGTTCTTGCCTACCGGGCATATTTTGAGAAAGGTGGGGTTGTTGGGGTGTGTAGGGTTTCCTGGGGTTTCCTGGGGTGTGGACACTCATTCCTCCAGTGGCCATATTGGCCACAGTTGAAACAAGTGTTCCTGACTATTCCTCCTTGGTTACCCCTGCCCCTATAACCCTGATTTCCCTGTCTCCATCCCCTTGCCCCTCTTTGACCACCCCTTCCGCGGGCTTTATGTGCTCCATCCCATCCTCGCTCTCAGCCTGTGTAGCTGGACATAATATGTTGCAATCCCTGAGCATAATAAGCAACCTTACTTTCCTAAATCTTTTCTTAATTCAAAACAACCTGCATTTTCCTTTTCTATAACCTTGGTAAGAAAATCTGAGCTATCCAAATTGGCCCAGTCTGAAATCAATTGTTTCACAAGCAAAGAATACTGTGGCAACATATTACCAAGGCATGACTGTATTTTAAAGATATCTATATCATCTCCAGACATCAAACCTGCCTCATCCTTCCAACACTTGTAAAATTTCTTTACAAAAATCATATTACCAATCTCTTCCTTTGCATCTTGCTTATATGCCAAAGCAGTGAATATAGACTACCTATTCTTCCATAATCCCAACATTTCAGCTTCCACCTTGTTCCAAATTTTAGCACATCTTACTGAAGTACTAAGCTCATAATCACCAATTCATTTCAAACCATATAACTCATACTCAGCATCCCATGTAATATTACACGTCATCTCACAAAACAATATCTTTGTAGAAACACATAATGGGTACCCAGCAGATATGCCAATACAGAAATCACATTTATGGGCACACAACTACACACTCTGTCTCCCTCCTAGGAAACACGGATAGACACAATATAAAAGCAATCTTAAACTAACACCTCCAAATCTCCAACTATTCTTGGCCAAAACGCTAGTATTCAACAACTAATAAAACAGTTATTTGCTAGGTTATTTGGCTGTCATTCTTATCAGTATCACTAGACTGTGACAAACTGATTCACATATAATTTAAAACAATACAGCAACATATAAATTAAACCACTTTCAAGTTAAACTGCACACTTCACACATTATCACAATCACCATTTACACAGAACAAACAGTTAACAGCTGTATTCAGAACATATTATTGGAAGGTATACCAATTTTAGTTTAGATTTATTTTAGGGATTCTTATGTATACATTTTCTTAATTAACTTCATTACTTTAATCTACTATAGTATTGTATTTAAAGAAAGGATCCATTTATATAGCGCGCTCATAACTCAACTATTTGTATAAAACTACCATTAACTAATCTGAGATGATGCTGCATCAACTTAAATCTTACAGAAATTGAACAAACATCTGGACCAGATTAAACAGACATGGTTTCACCTGAATCTTTCAGAACTCTCAGAGACTTAAAAATTTATACTATACCATGTTTTAAAGGCATGGCAAACCTTTAGACCGGTCAGTCTCCAAGAGCCCTTAGTAACACAGGTAAAAACCTTTGTCCATGATGTCTGATTCAGGCTATATACCACAATTTAAAATAAAACATAATGTGAGACATAGAAGACACAAGCAGTAGTTATTACACTGGATCACTTAAAAGGAACCTGTTGCAATAAAAAGGTTAGTTTACAGCGCAAAATAAAGCATGTGTTGGACCGCTGAAAATGTAAATGTTGCTCTGTTATTTTCAAACAAAAATTCCAAGATTTTACTAGTAACATGACGTAAAGTCATGATTTTATTAATGACACGGAGGCGAGTATTATGCTTTCTCTTTCTTTTATTATTCTCCTCAGCAGCAAGAATTTAACTTGAAAGAGAATAAAAACGAAATAACATAAGTAATCTGCCTAGTAACAGGGCAGCCAATCGTATACATTTATCAACATTAAGTGTCTTGAACAGTCTTCTAACTTCCTCTTTCTTGTCTGTGTCGACGAAAAGCCGTCGTAACTTTCCATAACTTCCGATATTCCACCCAGTCTGTGTCCAGTACGTTACGCTGTGGAAACAAAGAGAATGTATGATAAAATCCAAACTTTGGAACTGTATGTTATCCTTATTCCTTATGTTCCTTACAATCGATATAACCAACTGATAAAACAAGTTATGTGTGTACATAAAGGATGGTGTACATGCCCTTGAAATTCCTTGTTACTTACCTTTGCGAGAGTCTTAAGACTCTCCTTATAGACTGTCTCATGCCCACCGGGTGGGTGGGTGGGGATAATACTCGCCTCCGTGTCATTAATAAAATCATGACTTTACGTCATGTTACTAGTAAAATCTTGGAATTTTATTAATGACACGGAGGCTCATATTATGCTAGTTCAAAGCTTGGCCACTACCTGAAGAGAGATATGTTCAATTGGCCGAAAATAGAATTCTCTGAACGTCGATACTTGTGACCAATCAGCGGCCTTTAATATGTCCTCGAGGCGACAACCAATCGTTGACGCCTTGGATGCCATCGCGCCTCGAATGTGCAGAGAATTTCGAAGTGTCAATTCCTGTTAATGCTAACAGGTTCTTGACCCAACGAGCTAACGTGGGCGTGGACACTGGTAGAAAAGGGGTTCGAAAGGATATAAATAATTGACTTGATGCAGGTGAGCGTAACTTCTGAGTACGATCCAGGTAGGACCGAAGGCATCTGACCGGACAAAGTGAGGGATGTCCCGGGTATCTCGGGTAAGAGATAGATTTTGTATTGCCTTTAGTTCGTCTCGATATGGAGAATGACACTCCCTCTGGGGTGAATGATAATGCGTCCCAGTCCAAGGCTCGCACGTCCGATATCCTCTTGCAGGACAGTAAGCATAACAGAGTCAGCAATTTCCAAGACAGGTGTTTAAGGGAGAGTTCCTCATTTGGCCTCCATTCTTCCAAGAAGTGTAAGACAATGTTGACATCCCAGAATGAAGAATAGCGGGTCTGTGGAGGTTTCTCAAAGCGTATCCCCTTCAGGAGTCTACAAACGAAAGGATGCTGACCGATCGGGGAGCCTTCCAGGTTTCGGTGTCCTGCCGAGATCGCCGACCTGTACACGTTAATGGTACGATACGCTCCTCCTTCTTCGAAAAGGGACGTCAAAAACTCCAGTACTTCTTTCAGAGGTGCTGAAACTGGATCCACTGACCGTTCCATGCACCAGCTAGCCCACACTCGCCAAGCAGAGTTATAGGCTGCTCTGGTCCCTGGAGCCCAGGAGTTATCCATGAGTCTTGTAACCGTCTGTGGAATGTCTGTGAACGTCCAGGGACTCCGGAAATCAACCAGACCGTGAGTTGCAGCAAGCCCTGATTGATCAGGTTGTGCGGATTCCCCTCTGGATCCAATAGCAAGTCTGGTGTTGATGGTATTACTCGTGGAGAGTCGATTGCCATTTCTAGTAGACGAGGAAACCACGGCTGAGCATGCCATAGTGGAACCACTATCACTAGTGAACAGTCCTGTGTGCATAGGTATGATAGTGTCCTGGAAATGAGATTGAAAGGGGGAAATGCGTAATGTCGAGACTTCGGCCACGTCTGCAGGAAAGCATCCGTCCCCGAGGCTGTTGGATCTGGTCGCCAGCTGAAGTATCGAGGCAGATGACTGTTCAGTCTGGATGCAAAAAGGTCTACATCCAGTGGTCCCCACAATTCGTCTATTTGGCAAAAGGTAGAGCGGAGAAGGCGCCAGTCTCCCGGATCTCTCAGATATCTGGAATTCCAGTCCGCTTGTACGTTGTCCAAGCCCGGAATGTGTTCCGCTGTCACCGCAATCTCGTTCTGAAGGCAAAACTGCCAAAATTCTTTCGCTAGGTTTGCTAGTCGTTTGGATTTGGTGCCTCCTAGATGATTGATATAACGGACTGCCGAGATGTTGTCCATACGGAGCAGTATACAACATCTCCCTACCGTAGGGGAGAGACTGCGGACGGCGAACGATCCTGCCAGAAGTTCCAGGCAATTTATGTGCATTGTGGATTCCTCCATGGACCATCTGCCACCGGTGGATATGTTGCCACAACGCGCGCCCCAGCCATGGAGGCTTGCATCCGATTCTATAATCAGGTCCGGGCTGGTTCCAAATATTGCTCGGCCGTTCCACGCCTCCATATGGTCTAGCCACCACCTCAGCTCCTCCCGTGATTCCACATCCAGGACTAGTGCGGATTCGTATGAACGGCCGGACCTGAGGTGAGAACCTTTTAGCCGCTGTAGGGCACGATAGTGTAGAGGCCCTGGGAAGATGGCTTGTATCGAGGAAGCCAGTAGTCCTAAGACTCGAGCTAGTTGTCGAATAGAGAGAGATTGAGCTCGTAATGTGCGCCTGATCTCTTTTTTGATGGCCTTCAATTTCGTTTCCGGGAGGAGTAAGAATTGTGAGATTGCGTCGATCTGGAATCCCAGGAACTCTATCTTTTGGGCCGGATTGGTTATGGATTTTTCCCAATTTATCAAAAAGCCCAGAGTCTCGAGTAACGTGATGGTCCACTGTAGGTGGAGCAGTACTTGGTCTTGTGAGGATGCCATGATTAAAATATCGTCCAGATATATGATCAGACGAATTCCTCGTGCTCTGAGAAAGGCTACCACAGGCTTCATGAGTTTTGTGAAGCACCAGGGGGCCGATGAGAGACCGAAGGGCAGACATGTAAATCTCCAACGTCGCCCTAGCCATGTGAAATGCAAGAGGTCCCAGTGTGCCTCCGCAATAGGGACGGTGAGGTACGCGTCCTTGAGGTCCAATTTGACCATCCAATCTCCCTGTTGTAGTAAATCTCTGAGGCAATGAATGCCCTCCATTTTGAAGTGTTGGTATGCGAGGAACGCATTGAGTTCCTTTAAGTTTATGACTGGCCACATACCTCCGCCTTTTTTGGCTACCAAAAATAAGTTGCTGGTAAAACCTGGTGTATCGTATGGGATCTCTTGGATTGCCCGTTTGGCATGGAGATCTGTAATCTCCTTTGTTATGAGTTTGGTTTGGTCTGGGGCCAGTGTCAGTTCTCTTGGGGCATGGATTTGGAATGGGGTAGATAAAAGGTCGAGATAGAAACCCCTGACGGTTTGTAACACCCAAGCGTCTTTTGTGAGCTCGTCCCATGCATGCGCAAACAGCGCGAGCCTGCCCCCTATGTGTAGATGTGGAGGAATGAGAGATATTGCACTTACCGTAAGGTCGCCTGTAAGTAGATTGCCTGCGGCTTCCCCGAGAAGGCCATGGACGTCCCCTGGACGGAAAGAAGGGTGACGGACGGAACTCCTGGTACGTGCGGGGCGCTCCGAAGGAGCCTCTATGGGCCCTGGAGGGGCCCCGATAGACTCGGCCGGGTGGACGGCTCCTAGATCTCCCGGCCCCGTGCAAAACCTTGGGGTTAAACACTTTCTTAAGGTTGGCCTGAGCCTTATCTAAAGTAGTAAAAGTTTTGACAAAAGCCCCGATGTCCTTGACAAAGGACTCTCCAAATAACATTCCCTGGGCTGTGGGTCCAGGTTCTCTATTTGCCAAGTTAATCAACTTAGGTTCAATCTTAAGTAGGATTGATTTACGGCGTTCCGCCGAGATGGCTGTGTTGGCATTACCCAACAAGCAGATAAGCCGTTGGACCCATCCGATGGCTACATCGAAATCAATGGTGGACTCTCCCGCTTTAGCGGATTCGAGTAATTCATATAATTTTGTGGTTGGCCCCAGGGTGTCTAGTATTTTGTCTTGACAGCTGTGGAGTGAGAACTCCAGCCCCTTCTTGGGCTTCCAGCCAGATTTTGAGAGGAATTGGGCGATATGTGGGTCCACCATGGGGGTTTTGCAGGCCATGTCTGGTACGGAGGGTCTGGGACACTCTGCCCGGAGTTTATTCCTACTCTCGTTAGAGAGAGGGGTACGCAGACGGAGCGCCAAATACTGCGCAATGTGCGTTGGCGGGTCCCACTCCGCCGAGCGAGGGTGGCGGAGGTTGTCCGGGTCGAACAGGGGATACCCTTGAGGGTCCCGAACACCATCCTCCACACCCGTCGGTTCCACTACAGGACTAGACTCCTCATCTGAGTCAGAAGCCATAGCATTGTAAATATAATCCGGGTCGTCTGACCCCATCTCCTCACTATTGTCAGAATCTGACTCTTCGTATTGGGCACGTGCCCGTTTCCAATTTCTGGCCGCTTGCGCCCGACCAGTGGCTCTTGTGCGTGGCAACACGACCGCCATAGGCGGGTCAGTCATGGCAGGGGAGACCTGCATCAGTGGGAGCGTTGATGTATGCTTAGTCTTGGCTTTTGCCTTGCGGGCCGCAGGGACTGGTATATCAGTTTGGGCCGTTATAGTAGGTTGCACTTCAGGGGGCAACATGAGTGCCTGGGCCAGAGAATGGGATAGGGAGGTGGACACCGAGCCCATGGCTGAAGCCAAGGCTCGCTGGACCGAACCGGCCATAGTTGATTCCAGGAGAGACTGGAATTCCTGAGAGGGTAAAAGACCCGGGTCTAGGCCAGGGGTGGGTAAGGTATTCTCTATATTAGGGCATCCAGGGCCCCCATGTCCATCCCCGTGATTTTGCATTGTATTATCCAATTCACCAATGGGAATGACTGAATAGGTGTGCAACCAATGGAAATGACTGAATGGGAATGACTGAATATGTGTGCTAGGCAGGGAGCAACAGGTCTGGATAAATCCCACAGGGTTTTCCTTTATTATTATTATTATTATTTTTTATTTTTTTTTTATTTTTTATTTTTTTTTTTTTTTATTTATTGGGAGAGATGTCTTTAAATTAAATTAACCCAGAAACAAACCCCCAGCACACAGTCAGTTACAGACTAAACTGCAGAAAAAACTTACAGGATACAAACAAACAAACAAAGAGAAGGGTAGTGAGAAAAAGGGTTGATTAACCCTTAGAAGCAAATATGGGAAAATAGAAACCGTACAACCTTGCCCACGGAGGGCAGCAGGAGCAACTAGGAGCCGTTCAGCCTTCCCGCGCTTCAGAGAAGAGAAGCGCGCCGAAGGCGAACTTGCTCCACCCCCCCTCCAGTAATGGCCGCGAGGAGAGAGCTCCCCGCGGCCTCAGACCGCCGGGCGGAAGTAAACCCGGCAGGGGAAAAGAGGGAGATAGAGCTGCTCGGCACCCGCTGGGATGTCTAAGCGGGTGCCGGCAATTACACAGAAGGGAGGGAGGGAGGGCACTAGTGAGACCGCAGACGCGCGGGCGGTGCGGTCTCACAGCCTGTCAGACCCCTCTCAGCCCTGGCAGTTAGTGAAAGCCAGGGAGAGAGGGAAAATGTCTGAGCCTAAGCAGAGCTAAGCACTAAAATACTGACCCTGAAACAGGGACAACATAGAAATGAACAACATGAAACATTAAAATTTACAACATTTAAAGTGATAGAAACAAATATTATGTGTGTAATGAAAAAGTAAAGAGTACAGAAAAAAAAAAATCACTTATCTGATCTGAGGAGCAGCAAGAAAGAGGAAGTTAGAAGACTGTTCAAGACACTTAATGTTGATAAGTGTATATGATTGGCTGCCCTGTTACTAGGCAGATTACTTATGTTATTTCGTTTTTATTCTCTTTCAAGTTAAATTCTTGCTGCTGAGGAGAATAATAAAAGAAAGAGAAAGCATAATATGAGCCTCCGTGTCATTAATAAAATCATATTTACAGTATGGATCCTTTGCAACAAACACACAGGGCATGGAAGATGTGCTGATTGGTGTTTCTATACAATTAATCCCATATGGGGAATTAACTTTCAAATACTAATGAAGTGACTTTTTGTCTCAGTTATAAAATATACTGAGCTCATCATGCAAACAATGCAACACATTTACACTATCCCACTCTCATAATAAATGTAGTGGGCTTATAGTATTTTTAAAGCAACAATCATTCCAGGCACACAGTTCCCATGTGAAATAACTTACAATAAAACAGAGTAATAAACTTATACTTCTATGCGACAGAAAGAATAAAGCAAAAAGATTTAAGTAGGTTTATCAGGTACAACCTGTGAGTCATTTCTTTTCTAATATACAGTACTGCTATCTTGCAGAAAGATAAGTCCTGCGCTCACTCCCATCACTACTGGACAGCAGCAAGGACTACAGTACACATCAGCCCCAATATATGGTAAAAACCAAAGAAAAACAAATTACCTGCGTTCTTTCCTTAATCCCTATGTATTTTTAAAACCTCCATTTGTTTAAAAGTACTGCTATCTTATATATACACATATACATATACACACACATATATACATACATATACACATATATACATACACATATTGGTCACTCAGGACCTGAACTCACATTTCCCATACTGCTGATTCAGAGTGGGGACACTACTAACTTACCAAAGTGTGTCCCCAATATAGACAAACAATCACCCACAAAAAACACTTAAGACAAACAAAGGTGACCGGGAGAAAGAGAAGTTTGGGTTATACTTATAGATCTACAAACTGTGCTGCTCAGAACACCTATAGACTTAATAAACCGGAGACCTCTTATGGTCTCAAAAACCTGTATCTACCTGAGATACCCTGTATCTATCTTAGATACTAACCTGGGTTACCAAAACCCTATAATAAACCGGAGACCTCTTATGGTCTCAAAAACCTGTATCTATCTTAGATACTAACCTGGGTTACCAAAACCCTATATATTTAGACCAAATGTCTAATAAACCGGAGACCTATTTACAGTCTCAATATAACTAGAGTCCTTACACCTTTCCTATGTACTGGATACAGTCTTACTAAACCAAAGGGGTCATAGACAATCAGCGTCAAATAAGACACAAAAAGGCTACTTACCCAATGATTTTGCTGATCCAACTTCTATCCCACTTCTAGACACCAAGCTGAAAGGGTTAATGCTGTCCTGGACTCAACCCTCGGTTCTCGATCCTCTGTTCACCACATCAATTGACGGGAGAGACTTGCTTAGCAAATAACAGACAGACACGAAGGTGCTTAACAAGTTCTCAATCTGTATTACTGTGAAGCTAGCATTTATACAGTTTTGTTTACCTTAGTCATGAGATATGCAATACAATACAGATTATACGATTTATTACTTCCTTATATATTACATGTTATTCTGACAATGGGAAGATAAGCTTTTTTGCATACGTCTGGAAAATAATATCCTGAAATCGGAATGGGCAAGACATCCTGAAATTTTAGCATTGTCTTACATCCTATAGAAGAAATACCTTAGTCTGTCACAGTCAGCATATTGACTTTAAGTATTCAATATTCCTTCAGTCAGCAATAATCATGTTATAAACCTTATAAAAGCATAAAATACATATAAACAAGTTAACTATTTAATATTCTTACACAGAGTGGTGCCATTTCTAGTAACTGTGAGAGAGCGTGGGTTCGACCATCTCTATGCGATATTTGCGTTTCGTAGTTGGTTAGTGACTTGGCTTAGCGATCTTCTCCATTGTAATGTATTTTGGGACAGATCATGAAAGAAGGTGAGATTAGCAGTTTTGAATGTGTAGGGTGTCTTGCCTTGTACTGCCTTGAGTTTGCGTTGTTTTTCGGCGAGTGATTGGCACCTCAGGATCACATCTCGGGTGGCAGTATCATTGTGTTTCTGTTGCACTCATCTTCATACTAATAAACTAGCCACTTGGTTATGTTAGACACATATGTGAGATATTGACACTTTGAAACTTAAATAAAAGAAAGACTTCAGGCTGCAGTTGACCCCCAACTAAGCAATTTTACTTTGCTTTTGTGCTGTTGTTTGAGTGACTCAAATACTGGTTACACCTTCTTTAAACACAAGCTTGAAGAATACCACAGCCTGTACTTTTCATATACAATAATGCGCTCCAAGTACTTATAACCAGTATAGTACACTGCAGTGGTTATGGTGCCAGGTGTGTCCTGGCACACCTCTATTGTAAGTTATCAAATACTGGTTTCTGTATTTAGTAAGTTTGGTTGAGAACATCCGCGGTTTGCACACAGCCAATGATCTATTGTAAGCCATGCACTGCCTGTCTCAGACAGAGAGCGTGTGGCTGGCCTGGATGCTGTAGGTGAAGCAATGAGCGAACGGCGCCTGGCAGACTGCAGTGTTCTGTAGTCTGATGGTGCTTGGAATGTTACTTTAAATTATTTTCTCATGTCTTTCTTTCTAAATGCAGCTTTTCCCCTCATTTTGATACATTATGCATACGTTAAACAGTATTCTCAGACATGTTTCCTAAAACACATTTACAAAACACAGCTACGTAGCAAATCAGACGGCCTAACCATACTCTTGCATTTCCTATATATTGCATCCGCATCCTTGCTTTTAGAGTGGAATTTTCCTTCCAAACAAGGCATTCTGCTTAAATGTCATATGAATCAGAAGTAAGCTAAAAGACAGCGGGATTGGTCTACATTTGCAAACATTCTTTTTGTTGTATGCTTTTTTTCTTACTTTTTTAATGACTCCAAGCTAGAAAACAGGATAATGTTTTCCAACTGTTCATATTGTTTACTATTTTTACAGGAGATGGAATAAGACCAGCTGCTCTTTGCAGGCTGTCTTGTATTAAACTTTTGAAGAGCCCATTTCTATTGACGACACTCGTTAATAGGTTTAACTTAAAGTGAAATTATCACATCAGTGCTGCAATGTTATATTTGGTGCATTGCTTCTAGCTGGCGTCCATGCTGATTTCCGTATCGGACAGAATACATCAGAAAAGACAAAACACGACCAATGCCAAATAGTAAACTATATGTTACAATTCACAGGGAATAAAGCTAAAAGTAGTAGACAATATTCTCCGTAGCACAATTTTCACACAACTTTATATCCACCCTGTTAAAAAGCTTTTACATAAATGTCACTGGAAAGCACTTTATGTGCTTTGATATTATTTAAAAAAATCTACATATTTATGTAAAGTCTAAACATGTTCAATTAAATAAGTCTGTCATGATGTCATAACCTCAGTTGTAGTGAATATCAAATTTATAATAAAGGTACATGATGTGATGTAATTGTTTTTAGAACTGGTGACATTTTATTATCGCCATTTATATAGCGCCAACAGATTCCGTAGTGCTTTATAATAATACCTAAGTTCCTCTCCAGTCTTGCGGGGACACTAATGATGCAGGATTAGTTTGTGTTATACTAATGTAAAATCCATCCCTGATCTCTCCTACATCCGGTCCCTGTTTCTCATGTTAGACCCCGTCTTAGAAATATTTCCTCTAGCAGTGCGCACTTTCTCCTAGACTTAAAGGAAAACTGTCATCAATTTTTCACTTCTGTGTTTATTACAGTTAATGAAACTTAATGATTTTTTTAATGATGTACAATGATTTTTTAAAATATAAAAATGTTTAATCTGGCTGAGCAGCCATGTTGGGTTAGACTGTTATCTGATCAGCTGCTGCTCAGCCCAACTTGCCTGCTGCAGTAGTTTCACATAGATCAATCACAGTAGCAGGCAAGTTAGGTTGAGCGAGCAGCTGTTGGTTGGACAACAGTAGAGTCTGACCCAACACAGATGCTCAGACAGAAAAAAAGGCAAAAATGTATTAAAAAAAAAAAAAAGTATACATCATTATGAAAACAATAATTAAGTTTCATTAAATATAATAAACTACAAAAAAAAAACCTCTCAGTTGAGGCAGCCTTGGGTGACAAAGTTGTCATTGTACTTTAATGAGATGGGCTCACTTAAAATACATTATTCCAAGCACTACTTTATTAAAATAAAAAATAAATAAAAAAAGTAGATTTTTTTTTTTATGAGTTTATATAGTGTGCAGATGAATGTGATATTAATTTTCATGATTTTTTTTTTTTTCCCAGTGCAGATGAATGTGATATTAATTTGCATATTTTATTATACATATTTGTAATTCATTTGATGTCTTCTAGCTTGTTAAAATATGCAGTGTAGATGTGGTGCCCATATCTAAAATGGGATCAAAATCTCAGATGGTCAATTACATCAATGATGTTAACACTGTCATTAGTAGGGACATAAAGGGACACTCCACAACCCTAAAGTACTTTAGCTTGGTGAAAAGCTTTGTGTGAAGAGTGTGTCCTTTCATTTTGAAATTGACACTTAGAACCTGTTTTAACCTGGTTATACTCCATTGCCTTTCAATCAGACAGACAGTCCTGTTATTTCCTGTTTTTGGTTAGCTCAGTGGAGCTAAACTCAAGAGGCAGGCAATAGCTCAGAGCACCTCCCTTGCAAAGACGTCTTATTGAGCTGTATTGGTGAGCCTGTGATTGGACAGCAACAGAGAGTCTGAGCGGGGTTAGAAGGCGAGGGCTTGCATAGGCAGTACTGCAACTTTTGCAAGCTGTTTTTAGCTATAACAGCATGCACATGATAATTAATTGCATGCACATTTTCATTTGGGTGTATCTACTAAACATTGATTTTTGTTTATATTGTATTTGGCAGTGTTGTGTCCCTTTAACATATTTTTATGAAGGACAGTTCATATCAAACCAAGTATGTGTTATGGAGGAACCAGTCAAAGTATAGGTATATATATTCATGTTTTATTGGATGTGATTTGTTTAGATATTTCTATAACATTTCATAAATTCCACTGAATATGCTACTGTACAGTTTATCACAGGAACTGGTAATTATTTAATTGTTTCTCTTGCTGTTTGGTGTCTTGCAGTTATTTTTCACCTACGAGGTAACTGTGCTAAGTACCTCATAATTGTATCTCCGATACATTAGAACATGTAATGGTATTCTTGTTTAGTGTCAGAACACAGTGTGATAAATGTTAAAGGCCTCTCTGCCTTCACTTTATCACAACAGATTAAATAATTGACACTGTCAGCCTCTTGTAATATTGTGTTATTCACATTTCTAGGCTAAATCTAACCCTCAGAGATGAAAATACACCTGTCCTCTTGAATACACATTTTACTCAAAAAATAATCAGACACCTGATCCAGGATGACGATAAGACGGTGTCCAGTTTGTTGCCTGAAAGAAGGAAACCAGTACCGTTGTCAGTGGTATTAAACATTAATAATGATGCTGAAATTGGTGGGAAAAGAAAGTGTGAAGATCATCCGAATGTAAGTATGGATATGCTGTGGCAAATCTGCAAATCCTAACATTTCCATTTTGACACTGATACAAAAAAAAAAAAAAAGCACCTGCAGTTTTGAAGTCACATATTATCGTTTGGACAATATTAAACATAGTAAACATTTAAATAAGTGAATATATATATATATATATATATATATACACAAATACAAGTATAGTGGCACTCACCCTTTCAATGAATCAGTAAAAGACTGCCTTGGTGCAATCCCACGCTGGATATGTAAAGCAAAAAGGAAAGAGATGGACTCTCGGGTCTTTGTAAAAAAACTCGATATTATTTAATAACAGGTAACATACATCTGATCGACGTTTCGACCTCTTCAGGTCTTCCTCAAGATCATGAGGAAGATCTGAAGAGGTCGAAACGTCGATCAGATGTATGTTACCTGTTATTAAATAATATCGAGTTTTTTTACAAAGACCTGAGAGTGCATCTCTTTCCTTTTTGCTTTATATATATATATATATATATATTATTTATTTTTTTAAATATTGGGCCATAAATTATATAGCAGACTGGGAAAGTCTTTAGCTTATACTTGTCTGTGCATTTACTGGTCACTGACCTTAATTTGAATATCTGCTGTATTCTCAAATGAAAAATATGAAAATATAAATCAAGCAATATATTTCTGAATATAATAATTTTTTCAAATTTATATTTATTTGTATTATTTCTCCTGCTGCCTTATTCCTGAAATGCAATGTTTTGTTCTGCAGTAAAATGCAGAATAGGCAAGTTTCCTTTTATTTATGTATATATGTTAACCTTGCTTTGTGTGTTAGTTTACAAAATCTGGTGATAATTGGACATATTCAACAGTTTAAAATGTAACTGTACTAAATAATTTACCAATTCATGTTACATGTATTTGAATGCATTGGTGATACAAGGAGACGTCTTTCCATGGGTAAATATTATTTTTTTCTGTGTATTTTGTGACAGGGTCAATTCTAAAGTAATTTAGATTATTAAATGTAGATTATGATATTCTACAAATGCAGCGTCACATTCTGGCTATATGACTATTACATATTATTATTATTATTATTATTATGCTACATAGAAAAGTATGCAACCAGATTCCAAAGACCACAAATAATGATTTGAAATGCTTTGCAGACATACAGCAGCCAGGAACAGGCACGGGCATCAAGCTTTTCTGT